CTAATTTACAGCATTCAAAATTTCTAACATAGATAAAATATCACAATTTTTATTAAAAAGATTATTTTTCAAGATAATGAGGTCACGTGCGCGTAAAATTTATCGCGCCTAAAATTCATGATAATAAGCAGAACTAATTATTTCATTTTATTTTTAAAAAGAATGGATTATTTTTCGAGACAATGAGGTCACTTACACATAAAACTGATAAAATAAAGATCCTAGACGGAAATATCACTATTTATTAAAAATAGACTATTTTTCAGAAAGACGATGTCACTTACACATAAAACTGATAAAATAAAGATCCTAGACGGAAATATCACTATTTATTAAAAATAGACTATTTTTCAGAAAGACGATGTTACTTACCCACAATTATTTGAGAGGGAGCTTCCGATAAAAATTTTCGGTTCGAGAGAGAAGTTCACTGTGTTTCGACCAGAGAGAGATCTCAAAGTTTTGTTTTAGGGTGGGAGTGCTCACATCCCCTATTTAAATTCTTATAACGTATTATTATATTATTTTCTTACGCTTTACCTCATACCTGAGGTGTCGCGTTAAAAGCAAACGTTTATCGTACGAAAACCACGTCCGCTAAAGGACGCTGCCAGCTGCAAGCAGCAGGAGGCAAAAGCGGGGAAAGGAAAAAGTAAAGGCAAAGCAAAAGTTAATTCAAAGCAAAAGTTTTTGAAAACAGTGATGGTCCACAAGGACTATCATACTCAAACAAAACATCAACTATTTATAAGCATATTTTCTCCCTTTTTTTTTTTTTGAAATTTTAGGATTGTTACAGTGGTATTGAGATTGATATAGATAAATTCCATAAATAAAATACGAATCTAAAAAGATTAGGACTCTTGGTTTTTAAGATATATGTAATATGAGAAGTTTTCCATTTGGTGTGGCTTTCTAATATCATATATATGAGATGCAAGATAAAAGAATATGTATGCAAGCTTACCGTGTGGGAAAAGTTGCTTCATGTATCGTGGTTTAGTTTTGGAATAGAGATAAGTCAATAGTTTAGTTGTGGAATAGAGATGGATATCTTACTGGACAATATCTTCGCTCTAGAATAGAGATAGGGGGTTAGTGGGTGATGCTGTTAGAAGAGCTGGTACAGTAGCTTGGTTGTAGAATAGAGATAGAGGATCGATGGGTGATGTTAGGTAGAAGAGTGGATCTATTATCGGTAATTAAATATGTAATTTTATATCCCAAAATCAGTTTATTAGTACATGGGATTTCTACTTGCCATGCCTAGGTGTTGTCGATGATTAAAGAGATAATTCTATGTACCGAGATCTATTTATTAGTATAGTGGATTTATACTTGTCATGCTTGTGGATGTAACCCTTTTGGGGCTAAATACGTAAATCTTTATGTTATTGTAAAGAGTATGTTTCATACTTTATGTATGTATTATGGCTCGTACCTTCTCATATTTTGTTCCTAGCTGGATAAGTATACTAGGGGTGGCAATGGACTTGACCAGACCCGAAACCCGATGGGGTAGATATGGCCTCAGGTTCGGGTATGGGTTCGAATTTTGAACCCTAATACTATTCGGGTCCGGGTTTGGGTCTCAATCCAAATCCACTTACACTTGACCTATACCCGACTCGTACCCATAGCCATAGGATATTTGATGTCAATAATGTGTCTTTAGGCATGCAGTTGTTCATATTGCCTCAATATTAATAATATCTACAATATTATTGGTACAAAAAAGGAGAAGCTCGTAGACAGAACGTATATGATGGTAAAGGAGAGCATAAAAAAAAAAAGAAGCTGATACTTATAGGGTGGCAATGGATCTAAAAAGAAATGGGATCCGATAGGTAGACCAGATACCCGATGGGTGCCGGCATGGGCAAATTTAAAATTGGATTATTATTCGGGTCGGGGTCCGGATCCGGATCCGACCTGTTGCCACCCCTAATAAGTTGAAAAACGTTCGCAGTTCTCGATCTCCTCGGGAGTTTCAGTCCTTTATTCCCTCTCAATATCTCGAGTGTCGACCATTAGAGTTTAGCATAACAGTTCTGACCTCGAAAGTTGAAACCATCTCTCTATCGCTCTTGAATGGCTTCCGATTTCACTGTAACACAACGACAGCAGCTGCTTGTTCAAGAGAAGGTGGGAAAGATACTCAACACCTTGATTGGCGCCTCTCCCGGTACCAAAGATTTACTGTATGTTACTCTCTTTCTCTCTTATCAAGAAAAGGCTTGTTCTTCAATTTCATTTCTATTGTGGACTACTTTTTCTTGGTTGATTTCCTGAGTTGTCTCTATCTTGCTAGAAATCCAGTCAAAATTTGGGTTATTCACTTATATCGGCTCTGCTCCCTCGATCTCTCTCTCTAGAACATAAATCATTTTTCTTTGTTGGTCACTGGAATTGGGGTTTCTCCTCCTCGCATGAGTGTTGATTTTCTGGAGATATCGATTTCTGAAGTGTTGACTCTCATTAAAAGCAACTAATATTTCCTTTCTCAACTATGAAATGGTTTCCATCTCTTTATAGTGGCTGTTGTCTCTCAAGGGCACCATTGAATGAATGCGAAAACTTGTTCATCTCAGATGGGATATGGAGCTAGTAATTTAAGCTTGCATTGTTTCTTAAGAGTAGTTAAAATCCACTAACTTTTCATTAAGTGTTTATTTACCATGTGTAACCCTCATGGTTCCTATTCATTCTCATTGTGAAATGCTTTGTTACACCACAGGCTGGAGCTTTGGTATGAAAGACACATTGAGTTTCTCAATGCAGGCCTTAAGCAACTTGGACCCGGTTATAGTGTGTTAGATGCCAAGTATCTTTCTCTCTGCCCACTGATTGAATATTCAACTTCCTTTATTTGTCAAAGATTATTTTAATAGGAATAGTATAGAAAGAGATCATTTACTTTTAATACAAGGAGGTCGCAATCAATTTTGTCCGTTAGATCTCAATTGGGTGTGTCATTAACCAGACTCAAAGTTTAAAAGAAAAATTCTCAAACTTTATGACACACTCGAAGCCATCCAATTTAGCATCTAATGGCTAGTAGCAAATAGCAATTGTAACCTTCTTGTAACAAAGATAAATGGTCTCATAGTATACAATCCCATATTAATATTAGTTAATAAATTTTTTGTTTTGTGAGAACAGGAAACTGCATTTTTTGTGAGAATAGTTAACTTGTAGTTTCTTGTGTTTACTTTTAGTTATTAAAAGTTATCTATATTATTTTTCTTATTCCAACAAGTTAGTTCTCTAAATTCATACGCAACATTGTTTATTAAAATGCTGTGAATCTTTTCTCTTTTGTGGGTTTTAGTCGCCCTTGGCTTTGCTATTGGATTATTCATTCAATTGCTTTATTGGGAGATTCTGTTGATGACGAACTGGAGGATCGCGCAATTGACTTTCTTTCCCGTTGTCAGGTTCGTGATATGGTGTAGACTATAATGTGGATCTCTTATGTGAGCTGTTGTCATGCTATGACTTTTTTGGTTTTGAGATTGCTTGCCTTTACCTTTGTTACCCTATTAATGTCATGACCTTTAATTGCTTTTGCATTGAGAAAAGGTTCTCTCAATCTTGCATTTTTGTTAGTCAGTGGCCATACCTGTTCTGGTTTGTCTTTATGGCACAATTTAATTAAATTTTATGGGGATATGCAAAAAGTATTGTGAATGTAGTTGTAATGTACACTTGGGGGCAAGAGCTGGGCAAAAAGAAGAAAATTGTGTATAATATTAAGTGAAGGTTTTAATTGCTAAAGTGGAATTTATGCAAAAGTGAAACACTGAAAGTACTTTCAAAGGGATGATCAGACTGGAGGTTGGTTCTTTTGTTAGATTGCTGATGGCATGTGACCTGATGGTACAGGAGCCATGGGTGAGAAGATTTCCTGCACCCTTTGGTTATAGAGATGATGTTCTAATCAATTAAAAAGCCAAGAAAAGAAGATGATGTTTTAAGTTCCATTCATTGGATTGTAGAATTTATCATTGTGGTGGCTTTGTAAATGTAGCTTATGTATTCTGCTGCCCCATCGAGTGCTTGTTTCTTGTATCTACAAGAAAACCAATTTAATAACTTTCATAATAGCTGACTTTAAGACACTCGTCAATGGATACTTTGCTGGGAAGTAAGGTGGAGGTTCCTTTGGAAGGATGTAACTGGCATACAAATGCAAATGATCTATGATTTGGGTGTGCGTTTCTTTTTTTCGATGCTGTTAACTATTGTATTGAAAAAGAAGAAGAGTACTAGGGTCCAGAGAGAGCGCCCACATTTTGGGCCTCTTGGCAAAAAATAAGCTAACCTTGGTCAAGTAAGCCTATACAATAAATGAGAGGGGCTTATAACATTGCCTGTTTCAAAGATGTACAAAAAAGGAATAAGAGAAAGGTCTGTCAAGAGTAAAAATCCCGAGGGGGAGGACCACAAAAATCACAAATGTACAAAAGGATAAGGGCATGGTCATCAAAGCGTGGGTCTCGAATTCTTCTAAGGATCTGCGACCTGTGCGAGAGCTCCATCCTTAGCCATCTGGTCCGCCAGGCCGTTTGAGAAGGCTATATCCCTACAAAGTTGTGAAATCTCATCGTAAATAGATGCAAGATACCAAGGTCGTGTGGCGTAGCCGACAGCCCTGGTAATAATATTCCGGGTGTCTCCTTCCACTAAAAGAGGTTGTCCCCACTCGGGGTCTAACATTTTGAGTCCTGTGAGAAGAGCCAAAGACTCGGCAAGCTAGGAGTCGGCATGGCCAATGTGCTTGGAGAAAGAGGCCAGGATGTACCCATCGTGGTCTTTGAAAACTCCGTCGATACTTGCCCGTCCGGGGTTCCCAAGGGAGCACCCATCGAAGTTGAACTTTATCAGACTGGTCGGTGGAGAAGACCAGCAGCTAGCTCGTGCAGCCTGACGACATTGGAAGAGGAGGACTTGTTCCCAACTTAGTTGGAAAGACAAAGTTGAAATACCTTTGAAGGCCTTGTGATTAGAGACCCAAAAGATAACCAAGGTCTTAATCTTGTGAAAAAGGGTTGAGACTTTGCATTTGACTGCTCGAAAGATCCTTGAGTTCCTTTCTGTCCAGATTACCCAAATCGTGGCCGCTATGGAAGCCTTTCATAAGAGCCTGGCCGCCTTGGGCCAGGCCGCCAAGGAGGGTCCCCGCAAGTTTGAAGAGGGCTGGAATGGAGGCTGGTGTAATCCAAGACAATCCGAAAAGTCGTAGGAATCTGCTCCACAAGTTTAGTGTTATATTGCAGTGGATAAAGAGATGAGGATTGTTCTCTTCTTCGCAAAGGCACATGACATAGCGGTTTGGGATAGGGACTGCGTTGGAGAGCTTTTTCAGAACCCACGAGTCAATTGAAAGCTTGAACTTTCGGTGGGGCTATCGAGGACCATACCTTGGAAACCATAGAATTCAGACAAAGGAACCCGAGGGAGAGGGAGTCCAAATGAGACTATCTAGCCCAGAGAGGGCGATGAATGTGGCATGTAAGAGGGGGATGAGAGTGAGATAAATTTAAGGAATTCAACGTTCGAGAGAGGGCGTCTAAAGGACAAATTCCAAGCCTTGGAGCTGCCTGCATTCAGGATCTCTTCTACTATCGAGGGGGAGGTATTGGTGGCTAGAGAGAACAGGGAAGGGAACCTTTCCCTGAGAGGGGTGTGGCCCAACCAGAGATCAGATCAGAGGCAGATTCTAAGGCCTTCCCTTGGCTGGAAGCAAATGTTTTGCTTGAAGATAGAGAGGGCAGACAAAAGATTTTCAGGCCCCAGAAGTCCTACTCTGTCGACTACCCTCTGGAAACCAAGCATCGAGGGGAATTTTGTATTTGCATCTGACCATTTGAGTTCAGAGCAGGTTATTGTTGTTCGCAAGACACCACCACCATTTTCTTAGCAGTGTCGTGTTCTGTTTTCTGAGAATCTTGATCCCTAGTCCACCCAAGTGCTTTGATTGGCAGACTTTATCCAAGCAATGAAGTGAATTTTTTTTTATTAAGAATCTGCTGACCAAAGAAAATTCCTCATAAGCTGTTTCAGGTGATTGGCGACCGCTGTAGGCATTTGGAAGAGTGACATGAGATATACAGGTGTATTGGACAAGGTTGCCTTTATGAGAGTTTTTCTTCCTGCAAAAGACAAGAACTTGCCTTTCCAACCTGCTAACCTGTGGTCTGCTCTGTCTATAACATGAGACCATTGTCTCTTCTTAGATTTTCCAGTGCCCAAAGGCATCCCAAGATAGCTAGTAGGAATGTCTTCCACTTTGCACTTCCAATCTGGGATGAGAGCTCTAGTCGCCAAAGGTGTGAGAGGCACCCCTATCATAGTGGATTTCTTTATATTTACTTTGAAACCAGTGGCGTACTCGAAGCATCTGAGGAAGAGGCGTAGGCACTCAATTTCCTCTGGGATGGCATCAGTGAACACCAGAGTATCATCGGCGTACTGAAGGTGGGAGACCGTGGGACCTCTGGTACTGCTTTTGAACTAGACAGGAGGCCCAGTGGTACATACGAAAAATAGATTGACTGAATACCTCCCATGCAATAGCGAACAAGAATGGAGAAAGAGGGTCCCCTTGTCGGAGACCCCTTGAAGAGGGAAGGAAACCCCTGGGAACCTCATTACTTGACATTGAGAAATATGGATGAGAGTAGCAACCCCGCATCCATTTTCTCCATCAATCCCTATACCCCATTTAGGCCATTGTTTCATCCAAGATCGACCAATCAACATGGTCATAAGCTTTTTCCCAGTCTATCTTGAAAATGTGGCTCGAATCCCATCCAAAATCTAGAATGTAAATGAGGTATTTCTTTAAAATCAACGTCATTTTTTGCTAAGTGTCTAGAGTATAAGCACTCATGTGCCACCAGGATCCCATCCAAAATTTGCATATCTTTGATGAAGGTGCTCTGAGAGAGAGAGAGAGATCACAAAAGGTAGGACCTCTTTCATTCTCGAGGCCAACACTTTGGATAGTATCTTATAGGTTGTGTTGACCAAGCTGATAGGCCTAAAATCCTTTAGTTCCTTTGCCCCTTCGACTTTAGGAACTAGGGCGATGAAGGTTGTATTCATCGCTTGGTGCAGGATACGTCGGTGGTAGAATTCCTCAAAGAAACTGAGGAAGTCAGGTGTGAGTATCCCAAAACAACTTGAAGGGGGCTACTGGAAAGCCTCCCGGGCCTAGCGCTTTGTCTTTGCCCAGATCCGCAATGGCCTTCAGAATTTCAGCTTCGAAAAATGTACGTTCCAGCCACAGAAGCTAAAGCAGAGGCACCATCAGGAATTGTGAGTCCCCTATTCTAGGTATGGAGTTCGACAGAGCAGAGTAGAGGTCTAGGTAGAAAGAAAGGATGGCTGCTTCAATGTCTTGAGGTCGATCGCGGATCGAGTTGCCCACCTTGAGAGTGGATATGGTGTTGTCCCGATGTCGGCAATTGGCAATTCGGTGAAAAAGCCGGTGTTGTGGTCTCTGTGGCGGAGCCATTTGACCCTGGATCTCTAGGACCGATAAATCGCTTCTTTCTTGAGAGGGGACTGGGATCCTTCAAGGCTATCTAACTCTTGGATGGTGGCCAGGTGAGAGTTTTTAAGATGAGAGAAATCTCCTGGGATGGTTATGCTCCAGGTTTTGAGGCATTGAATTTTAGTTTGAAGGATATACCTCGCCCTACCCGAGACTACGGGTGAGAACGACTCCCACCATTGAGGAATAAGAGATGATACAGATGGTTCTTCCAACCAAGAAAGTTCGAACTAGAAGGGTCTGGGGCCTCTCAAAGCGGGTTGGGTGTCTAGAAGGATGGGGTAGTGGTCAGAAGTAGCACTAGAGCCGGGGAAGTCTTAGTCCCAAGACAGGGAGAGAAGAAACCTGTCGAGTTTGGACAGAGTGGTTTGACCAGGTAAATAGGTTGCCCTGAAGAGGGATGTCCAGGAGTTCATTGCGGGAGATGAAGACGGAAGAGTCCGACATTCCTTGTGAAATATTGGAGTTTGGGTTTCTCTCAAACGATCACCTGGTGATATTGAAGTTCTCCCCTGATCACCAAGAGCGGTGAGGGAGGGAGGCAATGAAATCGAGCTCATCCCAGGTGTTGCTCTGAGTGATGTTGAGTTAGGTTCATAGGCAATTGTGAATTTCCAAAGAAGACCATACGAGGTCCTAGAAAGGATAGCAGTAACAGAGAAGTCCCCTATGTGGGAGGACACTAGGGAATGCTCTGAGGGGTTCCGGATAACCCAAATACCCCTGGAGGCACTTGAGGTAGCCTGCGAAAGCCATTGGCAAGGTCTCCATCCCTAGACCTGGCGAATGAGTTGAAGAGAGGGATCAGGTTGTTTTGTTTATGTTAAGGCTAAGATGGTGGGAGTGGATTGTGCGTGGCGCACATGTCCCGCGCTGCATTACGTTTGAGGTCTTGTCCCAAATCCCGGACGTTCCATGAGATGATCTTCATAAGGGACCAAGGGGGTTGGGGATGGCCGTCAGCCTAGGGGACCACCTAAGGTGGGGGTTGAGGAGGGAGGGCTGATCTACGACCACTGAGAGGGGTTCAATGAGGGCCCGTTTGTCATAATTAGTGCTGGAGTAGAGGTTTAGGACCTCCCTATAGCCTTTGATCCTCACCTTGAGTCTGCTCTGAGCGTATGCTTTGAAGAAGCGGTGAAAAGGATCCTCAGGGCCTATGTGGGATGATGCATACAATTTTCTAGTTGATGGGGCTAGATTAACTTTCAGGTTAATGGTTGGGGAGCTTTGTAGGGCGAATGCATAGTACTTAGATGTTAATGTATACCTTTTTATGTCTCCAATAGCTCAAGATTTCCCTAGGGATGACTTACAGCCATTAAATGGGGCACAGGCGAAAGGTAGTTAAAGAACAGGATGGGACATCCTTCACAGATCATCTTTAACAATCAATGTGTGATAAAAGTTGCAGGCATCACAGGGGGGCAAATTGCAGCTATATAAAATTTGTGAACCCGGTTTGCCCCATTATTTAAGCAGCCTTATAGAAGGATATGATTCATTGGAAGTCATTGAGGTCTCAAATGAGGAGAAAGGATAGGATAATGTAGAGGGAGATAAGTCATCTTGAAGGATTAGAAAAAGGTTGTCCTCCTTGTTGCAGAACTTTGAGATGTTTTTCATTGTTGTTATTAGTTTAGTTCCATCAGAAAAAACACAATTTACTTTAGCTGTATCCTATACAGTGATGTATTTCTGTACATACGATTCTTATTGAAAATTGTCAATATCATGATTAGATGATACCCCAGCATTATTTGGGTTTTAGTAAAACTGCATTACTTTTGATCCGAAACAGGATGCTCAAATAATGTATTCTTGGGGCCATCTAATTTGTGTTATTGATGGACTGTGCAGTTTTCTTTCACTGTTTCTAATGTTTGTCGTTTTTAGCTGTTTTGATGGTCAATAGCAGCTGCTATTTATTTGCATTATACATGACTACGTCATATGTATAGCATAAAAACCTTGGTCATGAGCCAAGTACTAGTAGTTTGTTGCTTATGCCGATCATGTGGTCCCTGATATTGTTGCTTCTAATTTCTTTATGTAGGATACTAATGGTGGATATGGTGGAGGACCTGGCCAGGCAAGTTTACGTAGGAGTGTTGTTTTTGTTTCATTTCTTTCTATCCTTTCCGAATTTGCATATATTTTGCATGATACCTTTTTACATCTTGAAGTGTGCAGTATCAAGCAAAGGATTTAATATAAAAAAAATTGCATAATTTTTATTCTAATAAGAAAAATCTGATAAAAGCGTTATCTGTACTCTATAAGCATTGGAAATGATAAGAAAGCATTTCTTGGAAATTTCTATTAATAGAAAATTTTGGCATCATAATAAGAGTATATTACTTTTCAGAGTGGGACATCTGTAATATCAAGATTTTACTGAAAGATTGTATGAGAGCAACTTTATAATGTTGATATGTGCAAGAGTTCATTTTTACCATTGTCTTATGACATTCCCAAAATTCTTTAAATTGTTTTCTTTCATTCAGAAAACTTATGTTTGGTGGCCTCCTCTACAACATTACTATTTACTAACATGTTTTCCACTTTTGAAAAAAATGTTCAGATTCCACATCTTGCCACAACTTATGCAGCTGTGAATACACTAATCACTATAGGAGGAGAAAAGGCTTTGTCATCAATAAATAGGTGGAATATTTTTACTACGATTAACTCTTCTCTTGCATATTAATTTCTCGTGTATTCTGTAAATTGGTCTGATCTGATCACATGCCCGCATTTCAGAGACAAAATGCACATGTTCCTGCTGAGGATGAAAGACCCATCTGGAGCTTTCAGGTTTGGACTTGGACATCTATGCTGTTTCCTTGGATTAAATAGAACTATTAGTTGTTTTGGACAGTAATGATAAAAACTAAAAACACTAAAATCATGCATAAATACTAGTTTCATACATTGTTTTAAAATGCGGGATGCGGACCTGATGGGTGGCCGATGCGGTCTAGCTGTGGGCGCATCACCCCGATGCAGTCAATAAATATAAAAAATTCCAAAAAATCTCAGAAAAATAAGCTAATGCATGACAAAAATATTGAGGTGATTTATGTGATTTTAGGTACTAATTTATTCATTAACTCCAATATTACCAGCTGGGAAAAGGCTCTGATGATAAGGATGACTAACTCCAATATTATCAGCTGTCGGAGACTTTGAATCCCTTGGTATAAACATTATAATTGAATTTCATCTATTATATATATCATTTTGTATAATTTTCTTCCTTTCTTTTGTTTTTTTTAAGCGATCCATGTATTCACTAATTTTTAATCTTTTTGGTTGATTGTGGGCATGCTCTGACCCCTAGTAATACCGGCTAGGTGTTCTTTTTCTCGGAAAATAATCCTGATGAGTATTTGATATTTCCACAAAGAGTACAAATAACACAATTTCAATCTTTTGGATTTTTGAGTTTTGCATATTTCCAAGCCAGATCCTTTTTACTAAAAGATTGTGGAGACATTGCCCCAAAAAAAAAGTGTTAGGAACTGAAAACTTAATTGAAAAATTTTGATATCTTCTCAGCCCTTGATGAATAGATGCCCAAACTTCTTCAAATCAATGCCCAAGTCAAATCCCAATCGACAACCCAACCAAAATCCAAAGCAATCCAATGATTTCAAACAAAAAAATTTCACCCATTTTTTTAACTATTGTTTATGATATAACAACCACCACCATGGCCTTTTTTTGGGTTTGGGCGGTTTTGTACCCCAAAACCCTTCCACTCTCCCCTGTTTCGGGGAGGGGAGGATTACCTTACTGTCCATGCTCGTGGGCATTATTTTTGCCCATGAGCTTGGGCGGTGTATACGGGCGCTATGCGCCGGGAGATGCCGCATATGCAGGTTCATCCCTAAAAAGGGCATATGCGGCCTGAGCCAATGCGCCTCAAGCCGCGTAGCGCATGATGCGGCCGCATAAAGCGCTATGCAGCCGTATTTTAAAACACTGGTTTCATATTTGTTTCCCTAATGCTAATTATCTTTTTCATGTCTGTCTTCGTGAGAAGTTTGGAATTTCCAAAAAATGACAGTATTTAGCTGATAACATAAATTGGTATTCTACACTAATGCTCCAAGTATAATGTTCAGGGAATTGTACCTTTAAGCATTCGTATCTTTTAGGCACATTTACTTTCAATGTGTTGATATTTCTTCCATCAGAATGCATGATGCAGGTGAAATGGATGTCCGAGCTTGCTACACTGCAATTTCTGTAAGTACTGACCTTGAAATGCGCAATAAAATTGTTTTTTATGTTGCAAGTCTTTTGTAGACTGATATTGTCCTAGCATCTGAGAATCCCTAGAGATATTTCCAAAAGCTTCATAGGTCATTAGTTAAAATTTAACTGCTTTAATTCTTTCAATAGCAGTTAAAGACAATCCTGGATAAGTTATTCTGGATTAGTATTGTAACTGAGAATCACCTGAAGGCTATAATTTTTTTCCTCATTCACTGACTTCTACATTTTAGGTAAATTGTGGAATTGGGAGTCCAGTGCTATTAGTATTTTGCCTTCAGCATAGTAGCATCACAATTGAGACAAACTTGATAATCTGACCTTGCCTTCCATTGGCATGTGCTAAGGGAGTGATCAGCATTTTTAATCTTAGTATGGTATCACATGGTAGAACCTTTTCCTTTTGTTTAGTAATTTGTGGAATAGGGCGGGGACTTTTATCTTTTATTGGCAGGGAAGGGATTTGTAATTCGGTAATGAAAGCTAGTCGAGTTCTTGTTGGTAATATGACATATTAGGGGAATATAAAGCCAATGGTTTGGGGCTGATGATTAAGGCATATAGAAAATGGTAATGGTGACATATCACTGGGATCGCCCAACCTAGGTGGTGCTTCAGCTCCAAAATCTCTCTGCAGTACTCCATGAGATTGATCTTTAAGGGATCTCAATTTTTAAATTTGTAGATCTTGATCCCCGCTATTCGAGTTCAAGATCCCAAAAGGTTGGGAGCAATCCCAACCTGTTAAAGATTACACAGTTAATTTTTACAAAAATTAAACATTGTGGTCTTAAAATAGTTCTATATCTCAAGATTACATTGTTTAATTCTAGTTCTCAGTGGGAAATTGTAAAATTACACATTGTACTCTTAATTTCTTGCACGATCCCAAAAGGTTGAGAATAATATCCCCACAAGGTTGGGACCAAGAAACCCCAAAAGGTTGGATCAAGATCCCCAAAAGATCAAGAGCAAGACCATAGAATATGCATCATATGATATTCCCTACCACAGGGATCTTTTAGCCTTTTGTGATCCCCCGCTTCTAATCCCTGATTCACTTCCGATCCCGTCCCATTTGAACAACTATGGTCCCCAATGAAAGAATCGATCAATGGCATGGTGCCCAAAGTAGTGTTTATCCCATCGATGGAGAAAGGAACTTAGGAGAGGTTGAGTCAGTAGTGAGGGATATTCTGAGGAGAAGAGACAAGCTGGTTTTGAAGAAGGTTTTGGATATACAAGTGGGGAAGGAATGGGATGGCTAAGATAAAAATGAGTGTGTGCCTGTGTGGGAGTTCTTTTGGTCATAGTATATTGCCAATGTATTGTTCCACTTCTGGTATTCCTTTTTCTTCACCCATAGAGTTTATCGACAAAAAGAAAAATGTGTATTTAAGTTTATTATGAGCTGAACATAATCACTCTCTTAAAAATGACAAACATTGAACTCTCTTTTCTCTTTATTTCTTTTATTGAAAAAATGCCCTAGTTCTATTTTCTCTTTATTTTTTGCATCTAAATTGTTGCACATATGGATTTCATTCACTTCTATTAATCTGCTGCTGTTGTATTGTACTACTGCCCCCTATTTGTTGATAGTCACTTGATTCAACTAACCCTGGATGGGGATTTTTGAGCCAAGTTGGTGTTCTTAGATTTTGATGGCTAGTTAGCTATTAATAATAAAAAAAGGTGCCAATGTATGAAAATTAGTAATGTGAAGATAAGTTTACCGATATTCAGAAATTTTTTTGAATTATGCTTTATGGTGTCTTGATTTCAATCACATTTAATAATCTGTTGCTTTAGTTCATAGCTGGCTATTTCTTAGCTCATGAGAATTCTTGTTTCTTTTCAGGTTGCAAGTATTCTGAACATTCTGGATTATGAGCTTGTACAGAATGTTGGAAATTATATATTGAGGTTGGTTTTATCCATTATCAGATTCTTTAATATATATAGTTCTTGTGTTCTAAATGGCAATTTTGCTAGTATAAGCACTAGATATCTGGCGGTGGTATCTTTTCTGAGATTTAGGTTGGTGTTCATATTCATATTCATCTTCAAAGATCTTGTTAATACACAGAAATGTTGGATATCTGTCCATTACTTTTATTGGAGGTATAAGCAAAATATAGAGTGTTGTTATAGGTGAAAAATTTGTAAATTGCTTTAGAAGTCACACAGAGAAACTGGAGAATATTTTACATGATGACTACGTTAACAACATCTTAGAGTTATCCATCTTTTTTATTTTGTTGTTGATCATCGATGAATTGCCCATCAACATGTTTGCTGGTATTTAATCCATTTAAGAGAGCAAAAATACTTGACAAATTGCTTATATATGCTACCTAAATACTTACAAGCTATACAATTTGATGATAATGTACGAGAACATTTTGGTAAATTCGGATGCTGTACATGTGGTTTATTTAATTTTGTGTTATATTTTTCAAATATATAATTAGCATAGCTAGGCAGCTACTTTGACAAATAATATTATGCTGTATGGTTTATTTTAATATCTATGCCTGGATCCAAATAGATTGTGATCCTTCCCTCTATTTATTGTTGCCTTGCTTCAAAGAGACAGAAGTTGAAAAAATTCAGATTCTTGTCCCATGATGATGATTTCATATGGATCTATTAAGTTGGGGGCTATATTCTGGCACAATTTTGGAAGTTATTATAATTTATTTCATCATGCCTTTAGGGACTTAATATATATACAGATTTTCAGACCAAGTCGATGATCAATGGAGTTGGATTCAGCTTGTGGCATGTGTCCCCATTTCGTAATGCCTCTTGTGATGCTTGTACTTTTTGAAAGAGCAGTGCAAGTTGATTTCCAGAGGAAGCAATTATAAATGATTGTCATTTATTTTGATAGTATATGTTGTAAAATACATGACCTAAGTTATTGTGTTTGTAAATCTGTAATTAGTGTATGTGTGGATGTGGTGTTTTTGACGAAATAATATCTTGTTCATGACTACTTTGATGCCTATAAATGGTTGAAAGTATTTTATATGCCAGGTAGACTTTCCTTATTTTTGGTATGATGCTGTATTCTAGAATTAGTAAGCTGGTTTCCAATCTTAGTTTACTTATATGCATATGCAGATTAAATTTTAATTTGGAAAGTTTAAATATGAAGAGAATGACCAGAATTCCTATTGATTTCAGTTAGAATTTCTTCCAAAATATAGTTGGGTATTCATTTTAATATTCAGAGCAAATAATATGTCATACGTTGGATGGATTTAGCGGTGAACATTTGGCCTGAATTTTGGCAATTGTAATTCAGATTTGACAGATGTTGGTCAATCACCACTTCATGGTGAGTGATAGAACATAGTAAGATTTCCAAAATCTCACGATATTCCAAAGATTGTATCGTGTTTGAAAAAACCTACACATTGTTAATATTTTGGTACTTAACAAAAATCTAGATATATTTTTCGCCATGATTCAAATGATTCCTCTGCATGCTAAATAATGTTATGCCTTGGCTGATTGTTTATCATAGTAGCATCCAATGCATTACTATCGTGCACTCGTGCTTGTTCTCCCATCTGAATGTATTGTGCAAATTCTATTGAGCTTTCATCGTATGATTTTAGAGCATGTTCTTCTATCAATGTTATTTTCTGTTTATTTGGCATATGAAATGAGATGCTTCTGCCCATTGATTTACTCCGATCCTATATCTAGTTGCCAAACATATGAAGGTGGCATTGCTGGGGAACCCGGTTCTGAAGCTCATGGTGGGTATGTTTCATTATTTGTCATGTGTCTTTCTTTTTTGAAAAATCTAAATTGGAGACTTCATCGTGAGGAAGCATCCCTTTCCTTTATTCTTATTTTTCCACTTTTGGAGATCTGACACAGTTTATATGTATAAATACGCATTTATGTGATTGCTTGGCCCATGAAAACATGAAGGTACACATTCTGTGGATTGGCTGCAATGATTCTGATTAATGAGGCTGATCGTATGGACTTACCGAGTCTTGTTGTGAGTTTCTTTCATTTCATAACATATTTTTGTTTGAAAGTTCTTTGTATTGTTTTTCATTTGTATTTATTTTTTAATTTGTAATTTATACACATTTGTATTTAGTGTTTGTATTTGTTGCTATTATTGTGTTTCACTTATCAAAGAAAATTATGACTTTTTCTTTTGCCTATTATTTATTGAAAAAATGATAAAACTCCCATTGAGAAACATACACAAAATACAAAAGGGAGAGAATGGGATGTATCAGTGAAAAGAATTCATGTGGCTTATAATCTTAGAACCAAAATCCGAGAAGTCCCCACATTTACAAGGGTCCCTTCCGTTGATTTCACTGTCCGCTTTGTGTGTAAGCACTTTTACTGCATTATTTGCACACTTTATTTCTGAAGCTTGAAATAACCTTTGTAAATGCTCAACCATATCCACCATTCTTACACCTCTAGCTAATAATCTGATGACATCCCCTTTGGTGCCGTACCAAACCTTTTGTTTCCTGTCTTCCTTCTAAAGAACCAATTGTTCTTTTCCCTTCTAAGTTTTTTAAAGCATTGTGGAAGTTCATAGAGAGAAAAAAAATTGAATAACTCTCTTTTTACTTCCTGTGCTAGACCTTTGGGATGAATTTTCATGCATCAAAATAAATAGATGAATAAATAAATACCATTATATATTGTTTTATTTTATTTTCTTTTTAAGAATCTATTGGTCATCTCCGTATGTAAATAGGATTGGGTTGCATTTCGTCAAGGAGTAGAAGGCGGGTTTCAGGGTAGAACAAATAAACTGGTTGATGGTTGTTACTCCTTTTGGCAGGTATGATTATTTGCCTTCTACAATCACAGAAATCACAGAAATGTGATTCTCTTTTTTTATCTTGGTACTTTTTTTGGCAGGGTGGTGTCCTCGTGCTGATACAAAGGATGTCATCCATCATTGACAAACAACTGAAGGTCTCACATATTGAAGATGAGAAATTGTCTATGAAGCACACATGCGAATCTGCAGATAACTCATCTGAAGAGGAAAGCAGCACAGAAGGGTACCTTTACCAAGATAGAACTATCCCTTCATTTAAAGGTACCCCTTGCTGTTGAAAGTTGGCACGTCTTGTCACACTCTTGAAATCAGTGGCTTTTTCTTATATTTTTTAAGTTTAATGACCATCTAGAAAAATCATAAAATACAAAAGGACATATTGATATGAAGATAAATCTCAAAGTCATCGTTTGAAATGTTTGAAATATTGAAGCATATTACCTTGTTTGCCAAATCGACACTTCGATTCATGATGTAAAGAGGGTCAAAATTCATTATTGTACTTCCACTGTATTTATTTCCGCTTCTTATGGTCATGTAGTAAATGTAAATATGGCCAAATGATATTTCTACAGCAGTGTAATTCACCAGGGGTAATGTTGTACTTTCCACTTTAATAAATATTAATAATGCGACATCGTGTGACGTATGGTTACATACAACTACAGCTACCAAATGGGCCAGCCGGCCTGCTGGCTTTCGTGCCGGACCTGGATTCAGTCAGGATCTAAAGCCCACAGGCTAGGCCAGACATGAATTTTTGGGCTGGGCATGGCTCACCCTTGACCTGCCAGGCCCAAGCCATTCTTGACCCGCCCCGATCCTAGCCCAAAAGTATGCAGTTCATATAGGCTAGGTATTGTCTGCATTAATGGCTACAATAGTGGCTATATAAATGGTCTATATATGTTACTTAATTGCATTACCTTTTTGTGTGCTCGATTTTTCTACAATAATTACAAGTGTTATCATCTCCTCTTTTTACATGCTCACTTGCTACAACAATTAGATACATGCTAAGTTGATTAATTGTACCAACACCATAAAGAGATCTCGCAGAGTGAGAAAACCATTTTTTTGAAGAATGCAATTAGAAAAGAGAAGAATATAACTATTTTTTAATACCAAGAAACAAAAGTGGGAAAAAAGACGGATTGGGAAAAAGAGATTTTTGTTTTTTTTGTTTGAAACTAGGGAGAAAGAGAAAGTTGGGCATTAGGTATCACAAGTCTCTTTGTAAAATTAGTTTATCATGATTTTTTAGCTTTTACCATTAAGACTCGATGTAAAGAAATGTAAGATATTATTCAGAGAGAGACGCCGAATGTAGGTGGTGCAACATTTAGATCGTGGAAACTGAATCCTCTTAAGCAGTAATTTTCATGTTGGCTGGATTGGGCCTCGACCAAGGTATTTAAGACAGGCCCAAGCCTAGCCCAAAAAAAATTAAATTTGGGTCCAGGCCCAGCCCCAAAAAATTTTGGGCCGAACACAGGCTAGGTCAACCCGCCCTGAGTGCATCCCCTTGGCAGCCCTATAGACAACTTTTTCTTGACTATATGACACCTTGCTATTGGACCTATTTGGTACCATGTGTTGGGCTCACCCACTTAGAGCCCTCTCGTACGAATGCGGATGCGTGCGGTGGATCGTGGATATGAGACACAAAAATATGTCAAAGTCGATGTGTGTGTGTATGAGTGAGAAAATATGCAATAAAACAAATAAAGAAATAAATCTTATTGGCATTGGATTTACATGGGTCACCTTTCAGGCTACATCCATGGGAGAAAGAGACGAACCAATTATTAACTCAACGGTTACAATTGTCTGCTAAGAAACAAACTTTCTTGGGCTCACTTTCATCTAGAGACTTCTCTCTCTAGGTTTCCCCTCTCTAAGGTTCTCTCTCAGAGACTTCTTTTCTTTCTAAAGGCTTTCTCTATTTAAAAGGAAAAGTTCTCTTTCTCTCCTTTTCTTCTCTCTCTCTCTCGTTTCTCTCCTTACAAAGAAAAGGCTTAAGAAGATGATCACTGTCTTTCCTTCATCTTCTTCTTCTCTCTAAGAAGAAGGGTAACTCTCTCTTCTTCTTCTCTGTCAGAGAAGGATAAACTTTCTCTCTTCTTCTCTCTAAGAGAAAGATAACTTTCACTCTCTTCTTTGCGAAAGAAGGTTTCTTGTATCTCTGATACACCAAGAAGAGTCCGACCAAAGAATGGCTCAAGAGAGATGGTTTTGGTTAAAACCAACATGAAGCTCAAAAGTCTCTCACGTGATTTTTATTTGTATGGACTCAAGGGGATAACAACCATATTTGGAAGGATATCCCATAACCAGCTAAATGGGTGGTCCATCTCTATTTCCTTTTAGAAGGAGATAGGAATATCTTCCCTTATCAAAACTATATGTGAGATCCTATTTGTGTGGGATGGTGACTTGGTCAACAAGTCACCCTCTTCCCGAACTGCCCCTCTAACAATAGAACAAATCCATTCGTGTCCCTCCCTCATGGGATGGGACGCCCAAAAATCTTCCCCTCCAATCCCAGGAGGGAGGCACTCCTTTGCGATCAACCAGGTGCTCAAATGACTCAAATAACCAGGCACCCATACCAACCATGCTACTACATGACTCTTGCTTGTCTTTTGTCTAGGTCTTCGTCATCATATCCAATATTCTCCTATCGGTATGGATTTTCCCTAGTTGGAACAGTTTGTTACCCTTATGTAGTTTGGACTATCATATAACAACTCTCCCTGCAAAAGTAATCGAGTATCCCGAGATTGACGTCCTTGAATCTAGTTCTCCAGCGATGTCTTCATCTTTGTACCAATGTAACACATGTTTTCCTCCCCCAAAGCAAAAACACACTTTGGATGTTCCTCTGATATACCTAGATATCACAAGATTAGTGATATCTGAATCTGCTCATGGTGTCAGTGTCAATCAATAGAGTTACTAGCTGTTAAAGTGATTCACTGTTGGTCAAGGTGGTGACTAACGGTCCATTAGTGAATACTTTTGTTACACAATGGCAATTCACTATTGGTCAAGGTGATGACTAATGGTCTGTCGGTCAACACTTTCTTTGCACAGTGGGCACTCACCGATAGTCTCTAACTGAGCTCACCACGCTTCCGTTGCTTGTGCTTCCTTCAGTCGACCCATAGGGAATTTTTTGTATTTCTTCATTCTTCTTCTTGGTTGAAGGGATCTGTCTGGCACTTAACTCCCGTGCGCTCTTGCCTTTTGGCAACTTTACCAAGTGCTTTCTTATTCCACGTAGATTTTTGTTCTATGAGCATGTGCACCAATGCCTCAAACACCATCAAGTGTGAATAAGAGATATCCTTTCTGGTCCAACGTCTCTCTAGGATCTGACCATCCAGAGAAAACAACGGGCATTGATATAGATAGCATATTGTGAGGACTGCTTCACCCCAATACGGCTTGGTAGTGGATAACATGCTCCTAACTCTGAGACACTTTAGCAGCTTGCTTGTCTCCCTTTCCACCTTAGTGTGGAAATCCTAAAAGATCTCAAACACCTGATTTTTTGATTTCACCCACACCTTTAATGAAGCATCATTGATGAAGGTGGTGACGTATGATGTGCCACCAAACGACTTGACCTCCATGGGGTCACATCTGAATCCACTAGATCCAGGATTTCCTTAGAGCCCTTACTGTAGGAAGATGCTCTATGTTTTTTGCTTAACAAACAGTGGTCACATGGGGTTAAGATGCATGCATCTCCCTTACCCACAATCTTTGAGGAATCGCTGTTTCCCATCTTTACAGAGCCAAAGTCTTCCACTCTGTAAGAAGCAAAATAGCATCTTTGTGGAGTAACATGAAACGATGCTCCGGTATCCACAACCCAATCCGAGTTGCATGCCCTTCACCACAGTTTTCAACCACACCATCGTCTGTTATTGCAGTGGTTTCCTTGCAATCATTCCTGGCATTATCCTCATTCTGCTCATTCTTGAGCATCCGGCAATCTTTCTTGATGCGCCCTTCCTTGCCACAATGAAAACATTTGATCCCCTTTCTCGTCTTCGATCGGTTTGGTCCCCCATTCATGAACCTTCCTCAATTTGTGATAAGGGCTTGCGAGTACGATGTGTCAAAGACTTTTCTTCTCACCTCCTCATTCAGCAGGCTACTAGTGACCTGACTCATGGTCACTATCCCATCCGGTGCTGACTTACTCACAGAGACTACCAGAGTCTCCCAATAATCCGGTAGTGAACTAAGCAAAAACAGACTATGTAGCTTATCTTCCAGGAACAACATCATTGCGAGTTGGTTAACAATGCTTTGCACCTCATTCAAGTGCTTTGCAACGGATTCCCCATCCTTGAACTTCATATTCACTAACTTCCGGATCAAGAACACATTATTTCTGGTGGTCTTCCTCTCATACAAGTCATGTAGCTTATCCCACAAGGACTTCGAGGATGTCTCCATCGACACATGGTGGAACACATTTTCTTCCAACCATTGTTGGATACTTTCGAGAGCCTTTCGATCCAGTCTCTTCCACTTATTGTCTTTAATACCTTCGGGCTTGTGTTCTACCGTTTCAATAGGTGTTTACAAGTCTCGACAATATAGTATATCTTCCATCTTTGGCTTCTAGATGATCCAGTTATTTCTATTGAGTGATATCATTTTGCTCCCGATACTGGAATCCATCTATTCACACACACTATCCACCGTCTGTTACAGTTAGCTATCGCCCGTATGTTACGGTTAGCTATCGGCCGTGTGTTACGGTTAACTACCGCCTGATCGTTACTGTTAACTACCGCCTGATCGTTACGGTTAACTGCTGTTCGATCGTTACGATTAACTGGTGCCCAATTGTTACGGTTAACTGCCGCCCGATAGTTAAAGGTTAACTGTCGCTCAATCGTTTCAGTTAACTGTTGCCCGATCGTTACTATTAACTGGCACCCAATCATTACGATTAACTGCCGCCCGATCATTATGGTTAACTGCCGCCCGATCGTTACAGTTAATTGCTGCCCGATTGTTAGAGTATCCACTGTCAGTTAAGCTTTTGCAGAAATTTTCACAAAATTTCGGTAGAGCTTTCGCATGAGGATTTGAATCCAAAAAATCCCGTAAGTCCAATTAATCGAAAGTCAAGTCAGGGCAGAGCCCAGAGCAATGACTAAGATTAAAGGATTAGGATTAACAACGAGTCACTGAACCTTCTCCCCGTCGTGAGCATATGTTCAGGAGTCAGGTTACGGTCATTGAACCTTGCTCTGATACCACTTGTTAGACTCTCACCCACTTAGAGCCCTCTCGCACGAATGCGGATGTGCATGGCGGATTGCAGATATATGGGATAAAAAAATATGCCAAAGTCGATGTGCGTGTATGAGTGGGAAAACATGCAATAAAGCAAATAAAGAAATAAGTCTTACTGGCACCGGATTTACGTGGTTCACATTTTCAGGCTACGTCTACGAGAGAAAGAGAAATCCACTCTTAACTCAACGGTTACAATAGTCTTCCAAGGAACAAACTTTCTTGGGCTCACTTTCATCTAGAGACTTCTATCTAGGTTTTCCCTCTTTGAGGTTCTCTCTCTGATACTTCTTTTTCTTTCTGGAGGCTTTCTCTATCTAACATAAAAGGTTATCTCTTTCTCTCATTTTCTTCGCTTCTATCTCTTTTTTCTCTCTACAAAGAAAAGGCTTAAGAAGAGGATCGTTGGTTCTCTTTCATCTTCTTCTTTTCTCTAAGAAGGGTAAATCTCTTAGAGAAGGATAAACTTTCTCTCTCTTCTTCTTCTCTCTAAGAGAAGGATAACTTTCACTCTCTTCATCTTCTTCTTCTCTGCAAAAGAAGGCTTTTTGTATCTCTGATACACCAAGAAGAGTCCGCCCAGAGAATGGCCCAAGAGAGATGACTTTGGTTAAAACCAACATGGAGCTCAAAAGCCTCTCACGTGATTTCTATTTGTATGGACTCAAGGGGATAACAATCATATTTGGAAGGATATCCCATAGCCACCTAAAAGGGTGGTCCATCTCCATCTCCTTTTTAGAAGGAGATAAGAGAATATCTTCCCATACCAAAGCCACACGTGAGATCCTATTTGTGTGGGATGGTGACTTGGTCAACAAGTCACCCTCTTCCACTTTGCCGAACTGCAATAGAACAATTCCATTGTGAGAACGAAAGTGTCCGATACTGATCTGATATGGCTTGAGAGTTGGTGTATTGAGTTTCAAGAGTGTCTCATGATGATTAAATTAGGGATTCTGTGCCCTATTTCTCTACTGCAAAGTTTCATTTTTCTCTTGGTGATCAAATTAGGGTTTCTATACCCTATCACTTTGCTACAAAGATCATTTGCTTTCTTGGTTAAGCTTATCACTCTGGTGGTTTGTCCAAGGGCATTTCTGTCGAAGTTGATAGAGAATAAGTGGATCTACCTTTCTCTACTCGTTGTGTGAGAAATTTCCATATTGTTATCAATTGAAATCTAGGATTTTCCTTCAACATTTTTTGAAGATTTTGATGGAGATTTAACCTTCAATTAATTTCTGGTAGTAGATCAGTTTCCAGATTTGACTTCTTTTAGTATCTTGAAGGCTGTTGATTGCTTGATCAGAATTGCGGGCAGTCCAACATTTAGTTCCTAGTCACCTATTTCTTCTAGTACTGGTTTTTCTTTGATCACTGTGTTATTAACTCTGGTGGTGCTTATTAATGGCTCGTGGGAATGAGGCATCACCTATTGTGTGTTCCAAACTCAAGGGGAGAAGCTAGTTCCCCAGGTCATGTTTGAGGTCTCTCTCTATATTGTCCAATATGGTGTGTAGAATGTATCAATATGTTTCTTTTCATTGAATATCTACTTGCATTGTCTATTCTCCTCTGAATAGTTCATTGAATATCGACAAGTTTTAAGTCATTCGATGCTTGACATCAAATACATGCAGATTGTGGTTCCTCTTTCATCAAGGAAAGCATTGATTGGGGTCCTCTATTCAATTGTGCTGCATTGCAGCAATACATACTCTTGTGTTGTCAGGTACCTCCACTTAAATTACTGCACCTTTCACTTTTTTTATTTGTTTTGTTTTTTGATGTATTTTGCAACCCCATTCTTTCCAAATCTGATATGTTCTTTTCCTTTTTATTTCAAATTCCATTTTTTCTGGCTTGAACTGCTTCTGAATCGTGGCTGCTCTTTTTCCTAGGTTTTCATTGAAGAATTGTGTTTTTTTATAGAGATTAACTGATATTCTCTCCAAGTTCCAAAATTTTGGTTTTGCTCACTTGGCAGGATCATAATTCTTTTGGGATCTTTTACTTGAAAAACTCCTGCATAGTTTGTTGTCATGTGGTGAATAAATGCAGGGTATTCCGTAAGGCTAAAAACACATCATCTCTCTCTCTCACACACACACGCTCTATAGGTCCCCCATCGACCTCCGCCCCTCCTCTCACAAGTGCACATGCAGGCAACACGCATTACAGGTTCCTAGGTAAACAGTGCATTTGGATTAGTCTTCACCATTTGAGCTAATTTGCAGGTTCTAGAGGGAGGTTTCAAGGACAAGCCTGGAAAGGCAAGAGACCATTACCACACTTGTTACTGCTTAAGTGGTCTCTCTGTGTGCCAATATAGCTCTTCAAAAGACCTGGGAGTTACCCCACCACCAAATGCTGTGCTAGGCCCTTGTTGCAACTTGTTGGAACGAGTCCACCCCCTCTACAATGTTGTGTTGGAGCGATATCAAGACGCACATGAATACTACTACATTTCCTAGCTGATATGAGTATTCCATGTACGTTTATTTTAGGGGTGGGAGACATGGTTAGTGTTTCCACTCCATAGAAACCTGAAAATGAACTTTGTTTTACTCTTCTAGAATGTTGGAAATTTGGTGCTCTTGTTGTGTTTTTCTTGATGTTTGGGGATTTATTGAAAGTTTCTATCATGCGGTAGGTTGGTTTATATGTAATGATCATGTACAGAACGATCCCAAGGGAGCATATACTATACACGTATTCCCTTGGCGTAAGTTCTACCTAGAATGATTATTTTAGGATTCACCGAATAGTTATTTAGAAAAAATGTGTCTTGAGCCCTTTACTATCTGGACCTCCCAAATAGTTGATGATATCTGTTTAGTCATATGATATTTTTCGGACATATTTAGAGGGCATATGAATTTTACTTTTATTTCTTTGAAGTTGATCCCTGGAAGAGGTTATACATCCTCAAAAATTGTGGTCCTGAAAATAACTTACATTGGGTTTTACCATTGCAAGTGAATGGATGAAATGCTCCATGATTCTTGGCATTTGTAATTTGCTTGAAATTTGTAGTAGTTATTGGGGCGAAATTCTTCTTGGAGGGTTCCATTCACCTGACTTTGGGTCCCGTGTGGTTTCCCGCTATCATTGTCGGATGCTAAGAAGAATGGAGAAATAAAATTCATGTAGTCGATCTTAATTAATTGGGATAAGGTTTGGATGATGAGGATGATGATGATTTTAAAATATCATGTTTTTAGGCAGTCTTAAAAGGAGAACCTATCCAAAGGTTTTTATTGATTTAAGTGAAATTTATTAAAATACCCGTAAAAAAATGAACTATTTAACAATTTACCCAATCTTGACTATTCCGACTAGGTATCTTTGATGGGTATTTTGAAATTAAATAAAAAAATATAATAAAATGTTAAATAATTAATCTATTGTGAATGCCTTGATAAATTTCCCTTTAATTTAATTACGAAAGCAGATGCACCGACACAACGGTCAAAAGGGTAAAATAAACCCTTATTGTAATGTTAAAAAAACTGAATCTTGTATCGGATGGGACTCAACTGATATGGAATGGCATGGGGCTATATACCGATCTAACCCAACCAAACAAAACTAATAAATATTTTTTAAAAAATAATAATTATATTGAAGATGTCTGTAAAATATTGGATATAGCAGACTTCACAAGGTCATGACATCATTTTTCGAAAGATAAATTCATGATGTGATACAGCTTTATGAAGGGAAACGTTTTCTATAGAAGGGATCTATAATGGGCTGCTGCTACAAGTGCTTGTTTCAAATATAAGGCATCACAATGTTTAAAGTTTCAATTTTATGCCAATCTTGTAGTGGACACTATTAAGTGTCAAAATCACCAATGTTTGATCCTATCACTCGATTTTGACTTGGTAAAGTAGACATCACTTATTGGCTCAGGAAAGGGCCTTTGGCCATTGACATCGACCGATACAACCAACAATTTTAACGATTTCGTAAACATACATATTCACTCCATTATATCAAGTATTGAATTTAAATAGCTATGAACAACAAATTGCTCATGCCTATATATGCAAAAACTCTTATTATTATTTCTATCTATATCTTTGTAGAGTTTTTATTTTCAGAGCTTTCCACAAAAACTAAATCGGTTTTTATGGTCTTTTTTTTTTATAAAAAGTACTAAATTTTTTTAAAAAAAACACCCAAGTGTAATAATTGATAGTAGAGTGAACAGGGCAGCTGAAAATAGATCCAAGTCTCCCCATAGGCGGACATGGCGATCAGGTTGAGTCAACTGGTCAACCCAACACCGGTCCAGGTCCAAACAGCCAATACCCAACCTAGAGCAAGGCATAAATGTGGATCCAATCTGGACCCCAACGGGTCCAGTTCTAAGTCAAAGTCAACCCGAATCCATTAACACCCCTACTCATTTTTTAATATTTTATACATGACGAGCATCCCCAAATACCAATGCTGACATGCCAAATGTCACATGTGCCAATAACAATTACGTGTGTACGAGAGACAGGTTCATCCTAAATTGTCGATTGAAGAGGGAAGAATTGAAGCTAATTGACCAGAAAAATATCGCACGAGTTACGCATCATACAACTAAAACGGAGCAAGCTGCCAAAATCTCATTTCTATCACCCACCGTGACGACTTGTGTGTTCAACTTAAACGAACTGAACTCTCATAAATATAACCAACCCACTAAATAGGATCATCAAAAGATCCATAACCATCTACATTAAAGGACCCTTTTAATCCTCTCCACAAAAAAAAAGAAAAAGAAATAGGATGCACACGTTTTTTGTCACAAGATACCACCTTTGATGTTTCGATTTCAACCCAAACCAAACATCTCTAAAATTTATTCAGGAAGAATCTGTTCACCATCTGCATCATCTTCTTGGTCAACTTGAGGCTGCTTAGGAGCTGATCCTGCCCCTCCACTTTGTTTCTTCTTTATACCACTAACAATATCATCTATTCTCAAGAGCATGCAAGCTGCCTCAATGGCGGTCTTAAATGTCTGAGCCTTCACATTATATGCATCCCAAATCTATGGAGAGACAGAAAAGGGGCCAAAAAACTCAGATCACACCAGACCGCACATAGCAAAAGAACAAATCGAAAGAACATATGATCCCAAGGGAAGCTAAAAAAATCAAACCACCAGTGTATAGTATATGGAAAACTGTCACCTAATCACCATGTTGTGGTTTCCATTCCCCACCAACACCACCCCACTGATACCTTCAAAAAACTAACTCCTACACTATTTGAGGAAACGGGTCTCCTCTGATAAACTAACTCCTACACTATTTGAGGAAACGGGTCTCCTCTGATTACCCAAAAAAAAACTTGGGCTTGATTGGTTAGATGTTGACAATTGCAACATTATATCCTGAGTTCAATTCTCACCTAGTCACCACGTTGTGGTTTTCATTCCCACTGACACCACCCCACTAACACCTTCGAAAAACTAACTCCTACACTAATTGAGGAAACAGGTAGAGGCCCATCTTCCCCACTGATTACCCAAAAAAAAACAACTTGGTATCGATTGGTTAGATGTTGACAATTGCAACATTATATCCTGAGTTCAATTCCTACCACTGAACTACCCAATAAAAAGCATAACGAAAAAAAGGATCTCCCCTGTCTGTCATAAGAATGGATGGGAGATGTCCTGGAGGCATACCATATACTATAGATGGGCGGAGCATGATAAACTGTCCAATCAAGGTTGAGTAATAGAATGTCAGAGTTATACCCCTTTTTCTTTCATATCCACGATAGTGCCTGTGTTTCCGTCTATGCCAATCCATGCATTTTCACCATTTGCATGCTGCAACAAAAGACAATATTCTTAGTTTTTTTTTTTTGTTTTCTTAAACAAGTAAAGAAGGCTTTACATGAATAGCTATAATGAGTCTAAGAAGTAAAGATCATTCAAAATTTTACATGATATACCTTTCCTTGCAAAGCTGTCATCGTCCGGATTACATTTACTCCACAGTTTTGTGCCAGAGTACGGGGGATAGCCTCGAAAGCAACTGCAACAGCTTCATATGGCCACTGCCAAATGACCACGCAGATATTTAAGGTGCAAGGTCATCAAAAAAGTTGAACACTCAAAACAATACCATGTTCCAATGTTTTTACTCTATTTTTTCAGATGAGTTTCTAATGTTTTTTCTCCCCAGGAACGTTTCCAGTTAATGGAGGGAGATTATATGATCTTATTGCCAATTAGTCGATACAAATACACTCGCAACAAGTAAGAAGCAACCAATAGGCCTTTTGAAATACTGTCCATGAAATAACAAAGATCCCCAAAAACAATTTCTTTTAACATTTTTGAACCAGTAACAATCTGGACTTCCAAAATACTGTAACATTTTAGATCATAGATGCATATGCATAGTATGTGCATTACAGAAGGATGTACTGTTCAGATGATATTAAATCTGGATTTTACCCAATAATCCGTCTATTAATATTCAATGGCCAGATTACTCAATTATACACTCTTTTTTATGCTTTTCTTTCTTCTTCCTTTTTTTTTTGTGGAAGACGGCGGTCGCAGGGGATGTAACCTGACTATTACTTTCCCACATTGAACTTTGAACTTTTCCATCCATTAATTGGTTGTTCCTTTTTTTTTTATCAATATCATTAATTGACTTTTAAATCCAGTCCCTTCACAAAGTTTGGTTACTGAAGCACCTGAAAGTTGAGAATCATTGTGTTTGTAGCATAGTTTGAAAACTCGCCGGGTCGAACCGGACTCGCTCAGTTCGACTCGGGAATCGACAGACACCGTACAGGTTCCACTATGAAACCGGGAATCGCCTGTGTCTAGAGAGAACCGGGCAATTCCCAATAGTGAATCGCCGAGTCTCGCCCAAGAACACGGGCTGCACAGTGTTCTTCATGGATTTAATCTTTTTTTGTCATTTTCTTATCATTTATCATCTTTGTCAGCCTTATAATGGAATCTTGCAGGCTTTAATTCAAATTTTTCAGCCATTTCAGTCAATAAAAGGTAGTGAATATCCAATTTTGATCAAAAAAATTTAGGGTTTCCGCCATTTCACTGATGTCAAACGAAACAAGGCATCATTTTTTGTAAAATTTCAATGTGATTGATCGTAAGAGTGTTGTTCAAAAGTTTTGTTCATAATTTGTGATTATTTTGGAGGAATACATATCAATTTTGAATTTGAAGGCACGGGTGCACGAAAAACAGGTAAGAATTGTGTTTTTTTTTTTTTCCCGCCATTCTATCAAATTCACTCAATATTTTGCAAATAATATGTTAAATTTATAGGCTTTTGATTCGTTATAGTATTGTTTATCATCACATGTATTCAATTTGATTATATTTATTCAATTTGAGTTGGATTTTTGAGAAAAAAAGACCGATGTCTGTGGAAAAAAATGGACTGAGTTTTTTTATTTTTTTTTCCGCCATTCTCTCAATTTCAGTAAATATTT